CAAAAACAGCCCTAAAAACGGTCTAAAAATGACCCTGAAAACAGCCAAAAAAAACAGCCAAAAACAGCCCTAAAAACGGTCTAAAAATGACCCTGAAAACAGCCAAAAAAAACAGCCAAAAACAGCCCTAAAAACGGTCTAAAAATGACCCTGAAAACAGCCAAAAAAACCAGCCAAAAACAGCCCTAAAAACGGTCTAAAAATGACCCTGAAAACAGCCCAAAAACCCAGCCAAAAACAGCCCTAAAAATGGTCTAAAAATGACCCTGAAAACAGCCCAAAAAACCAGCCAAAAACAGACGTGTGCCAGTCAGCTGGTCTTCAGGTTTCTGGTGCTGCCGTGCGCACACATGCACGCATGTTCCGGTTTGGGGACTCAGTGCTGAAAAGGATCACCATCCTAGAGCAACTGAACGGACAAGAAAGCAGATGATCAAAATGGAGCTAACTGGAAGACTAATCACTCTTCAAATCTCTGTTCAATCGTTACAATATATATAGCCTTATAGAGAAGAACTGTGCAACACCATAACATACCCTATATAAAACTGTCAAAATATAACATCCCAGGCTGAAAAAACAAGCTATAAAAAGCGGGATGTGATTATGGAGAGGACAACAACAACAACAACTTGGCACAGAGCTGTGTAAATGGCGCAAATTATTTCCAGGAACAGTGGGAGCAAACAGAATAGGGCCAAAAAGCTTTGTCAAGGTATGATCATCGCTCATGGAGGGCTGTTTGTGAAACCATCTACGGCGACAGCTATTTTCAATGCAGAGATTTAAACTCAGAATATCCAAGCCGAAAGACAGCTCATGGATCCCGACTTCCAGTTATTTAATTTTTCATGACAGTAGTTCACACCATTCAGCTGACCAGCTATTTCATTCTTCATCACCTCTGCTTGAAGCAAGAGCCGGAAAGCATCACCTTGCTGTTTCTCAGCAAGAAATTTAAGTCAGCTCTGTCACCTTCAGAGTGTTGTGTGACCATTCGTTTTAGATTGGTTACACTAGGAGAGAGGTGTTTTTTGTTTTTGTTTTTAGTCTGTAAAAATGTACCAGGCATTGTTTCCCACTTAGCACATAGACAAGCTGGATGGCATTTGTCACTACAGGCACAGTTTTAGCTTCCAACAGACTCTAAAGGAGGAACAAGCTTAAAAGAAACAATCATGATAAAAGTCTGTAGAGATGCTCAGTCATCCAGGTCATGTTGGTCCCCTTTTTCAGGAGGCAACTGGACTCTTGATTTTTCTTTTGAAGACGTTTCACTTCTCATCCAAAAAGCTTCTTCAGCTCTGACAGGATAGTCGGAATGGAAGGATCCTCTAAAAGGCTGTAAATTGCCAGCTGTCTGCAAGGAGTATAAATCCTTCCATTCCCCACTATCCTGTCAGAGCTGAAGAAGCTTCTTGGAGGAGAAGCGAAACGCCTTCGAAAGAAGAAAGTCCAGTTGCCTCCTGAAAAAGCACCTTTGGGACAAACCATCATTATATTACTCTTCCCACTGAAAGAATAGGTGGNGAGGGTCACACATGCATGTGGGTGGGTGGAGCACATGTGGGGGTTTGTGCGCATGCATGGGGGTGAGGCACATGTGCAGGGGGTGTGTTGCATTTTGGGGGTTCACGCGTGTTGGGCACTTGGTCCAGAAAAGGTTAGCCATGATCACTGGTATATGTTATATCAGAAAGCAAGTGATTAAACAATAAAAAATGCTGATTACATGCCAAACTTAAACAATAGGAAACGTTGATTCTAGATCACATTCCACAAGTGGCAAATGTATGGGTTACATTATTTTCTTCCAGCTGGGCTTGTATCTTTCTAAAAACTTGAAAGTGTATTGCAAGGACTTTCAGACTATGCTCTCTATTGTTTAGTGCTGAAAAGCCAAATTCTCACACACCTCAAGAAATGGCCTTGGCTAAGAAAAAAAATATTTTCTTGAAGTTAGAAAAGAGGTCTAGACTACCATGTTAAAATGCTAATATCACATTTTAAAATGCTAATAAAGGTAAAGGTTCCTCTCGCACATATGTGCTAGTCGTTCCCCACTCTAGGGGGCAGTGCTTGTTAGATAGGGTGAACAAATGAGGCAGGACTCAAGCTTCAGCGACAACAACTCTTTATTTGACAAACTATGTACAGATCTTGCCTTTTTATAGGGAGCTGTCAGATGGCTCAGCCAATCAGCTTCAAGTATTCTCCCTCCAGAATGGAGGACCTTGGTGGAGCCTATTGCTGCAGTCTTAATATCTAACAGTGCTCATCTCCATTTCAAAGCCAAAGATCCAGCACTGTCTGAAGACGTCTCTGTGGTCATGTGACCGGCATGACTAAACACTGAAGGTGCATGGAACGCTGTTACCTTCCCATCAAAGGTGGTTCCTATTTTTCTACATGCATTTTTACATGCTTTCAAACTGCTACGTTGGCAGAAGATGGAACAAGTTACCGGAGCTCACTCCGTTATGTGGCACTAGGGATTTGAATCGCCACTGAGCTTTCTGATCGACAAGCTCAGCGTCTTAGCCACTGAGCCATTGTGTCTCTTACAATGCTAATAACAAAGCTAAAATTCCAGATAGCACCTCCAAATACATTAATACATCCGCTCCATTGCCAACATAAAGTATTGTTAATGCCCAATGCCCTGCTGACAATTATTTCATTACATGGCAAACTCGTCAATCTTAACCCTCCTCCTTAGGTCTGTCTTATCAGCTTTCCCATCTGTATTTTTATCCAAAGTGGACAGCTACAAGCTTGAAACTAAAAGGAAGCCAAAATGTAGCTGTAGGAACTCTCAGAATTCATCCACTATAAAATGAGCCATTGGCCAAGAGAGCCACTTCCTCATGGTGGAATGTCTGTAGCTGCCTAGCAACAGCCAAAAGCATCCAGGGCTCAACTGGCATTGATTATAAAGAGTCTGTCAAATATGGTAATCTCTTGTCAGGGAAATGGAGGTGGCTTCAATTAACAAACAACTCCAGGCTTGCTGAAAACACAGCATATCCCAAAATAGCTTTTTTCCCCCAAAGAAGATCAAAAGTACTGTAAAATAATTGCCTTCACTGTTCCTTTCCAGTATAGCTCCTTTGTCAACAGTTTACATTCTAACTGTGATGGGTCCTGAATCCATCTTGACTACCTTCACTGTCCTTAGGGCAATTCTAATGTTAGTCTCTCTCTCCTGTCCCTCTACAGCTCTGAAAACACCTTTGATCTGAATTCATTTGTGCATTAACATGCATTCAAAGAAAGGGCAGATTTGAGATTTGATAACACAGTTTTCTTTAGTTGGGAGAGCACTGAAATATAAGGCCAGAATTCCCAGCCTCTGGTCACTGATTACAACCCCAGCACTGTTGGAAAAAACAGGGAGAACTGTACTTGTAGATCAGTGGTGGGTTCCGGATTCAGTTCGGAACGGTTGGAATGGGCCCAGCGGCATCCACATGGACACGTGCAGCGCGTGCCTGTGTCTTACCGCTTCCTTGAACCTCCGTGATGTTCCAGCTGCTCAACAGAGCATCGTGCAGGCGCTGTACGCGCCATGTGTGTGCATAGAAGCACAGAAGCCTTAAAACACAGGTAAGGAGGGCGGGCGGGCGGGCCCTCCGGAGCACCATACCGGAATTGTATCTGGTGCTCCGGGCAGGCTCCGGTACGCCCGATCTGGGCATACCGCCTGCAACCCACCACTGTTGTAGATCAATGAGAGATTATCTCCCTATTGACTCGAAAGCTTCCACAATCCTTTCCCCTCTTTAAATTAAGCAAATGTAGTTGCAGAATGGCAGATATAATTCCAGCATATGATTTGATGCTGTGTTCATGTCAGGTATCTGACCCCCAAGATGGAGAAAATATTATAGCCCAGTTTGGTAGATGAGAGAACGTTCAGTCTAAACCAGTGTTTTGCAAACTTAGCAACATTAAGATTTGTGGACTTCAACACCCAGTATTCCCCAGCCACATGGGTTTCAGAGTTGCAAGATTGATGTTAGATCTATGGGGAAGTTCAGACAAGAAGCACACCCACAAGTCCTAACTCTAATTTTATGATAAGTTCACATTGATATAATTTTGCCAGTCTGAAAATACCATTCTTGTCCCTCACTTTTACTCTCCAGCAAACTAGGGAAAGTCCCTTCAGAGATGCTTTCACCATTTCTCCTCCTTCATACTCAAATTTCTTTTATCAGACCATTATCTAGCCTGTATTACTTCTTCTTCTCCTAAGCCATTCCTACAAACCATTGCAGATTGTAAAAGTAAAAAAAAAAATGATGCCTGTTATTATACTTGATCTGGCATGCAGGTGTACATGTACCAGAGATGGGTTGCTCCCAGTTCAGCCTGGATCAGTTGAACCAGTAGTAGCGGCGGTGGGAGGCTCTGCCCACCCGCCCAGATGCTTCTGCACATGTACCAAAGCATAGCTCACGCAAGCAAGCGTGCGCGGGAGCAGACCTGAACTGGTAGTAAAAAGTTTGGCAACCCACCACTGACATGTAGAATATGTTATGTAATAATATCAAATATCAATATGTTTTAGACAGGCTTGCTATATATAGGTACCCTATATATAGGGTAGGACAAGAAGCAATGGGTGGAAACTAATCAAGGAGAGAAGCAACTTAGAACTAAGGAGAAATTTCCTGACAGTTAGAACAATTAATCAG